ACATAGTGCCATACTTGACGTGTCCACATGGCACCATACATAACATGTCTATATAGTACCATATGTATGGTGCCATGTAGACATGTCCTGTATGGCGCCATGTAGATGTGCTATGTAACATGTCTATGTGACACCATATATAGCACTATACATAACATGCCTATAAAATACCATATATAGTACATCTGCCTAGCGCCATACATAACGTGTGTGTATATATAGTGCCATGTCCAGCACATCTACATAGTGCCATACATGATGTGTCTACATGGTACCATACATATGGTACTATATAGATATGTATGGTGCCACGTAGACACGTCATGTATGGCACTATGTAGATGTGTGATATATGGTACTATATAGACACACACACACACATTATGTATGTATATATATATGTGTGTATATATAGATAAGCGCATCTACATAGTCCCATACATGAAGTATCAACGTGGCACCATACAAAACATGTCTATATAGTACCATATGTATGGTGCCACGTAGACACGTCATACATGGCGCTATGTAATGTGTCTGTGACACCATATATAGCACTATACATAACATGCCTATAAAATACCATATATAGTACATCAGCATAGTGCCATACATGACGTGTCTACGTGGCACCATATATAGTACCAGACGCAACGTGTGTATTTAGTACCATATATAGCGTTATACAGAACGTGTGTCTACATAGTACCATACGTGACGCGTCTACTTGGCACCATACATAGCGTGTCTATATAGTACCATACGTGATGCATCTACTTGGCACCATATATAACGTGTCTACATAGTACCATACGTGATGCATCTACTTGGCACCATATATAAACGTGTCTACATAGTACCATACGTGATGCGTCTACTTGGCACCATACATAGCGTGTCTACATAGTACCATACGTGACGCGTCTACTTGGCACCATACATAGCGTGTCTATATAGTACCATACGTGATGCGTCTACTTGGCACCATATATAACGTGTCTACATAGTACCATACGTGACGCGTCTACTTGGCACCATACATAGCGTGTCTATATAGTACCATACGTGACGTGTCTACATGGCACCATACATAGCATGTCTATATAGTACCATACGTGACGTGTCTACATGGCACCATATATAGCAGCATCTATGCCATCTCTATTTCGTACCATCTATAGCATCATACATATGGTACTATATCGATATGTCGTGGATGGTACTATGTATGGTGCCACGTAAACACATCATGTATGGTACTATATATAGACATGTTATATATGGTGCCACGTAGACACGTCATGTATGGCACTATGTACATGAGCTATATATATGGCGTTCTGCAGCCATGCTCGGCCTCTCCTGCCATTAACCACCCCTCGCCTATTCACAACCTTCTTTGGAACGTCCACTGAGCTGCGCATGCACAGGAGCTCCATCAGCCAATCGAATGGTTGAAGACGCGGCACCCAGAAGAAGCCAATGAGAAGATGGCGGTGGAAGGTATCGGAGATTCCCCTCTACAGCAGGCTGGTGTACCCGGCTAGGGAAAAAAGGAATCATTTCAGGATCGAGACGCTGTGACCGCGTGCCACAAGCCTGCTCTCTGCACCCCCCCAGCCATGGCTTTGCTGGTGGAACCCCCCCCACCCCACCATGTGACTGCACTCCTCTGAGCCACTGGCTGCCAGACCAAAGCCAAAGACCAAAGCATCCCATACTCCCCCCCCCCCCCCCCCCCCATACCTGGCAGCTAGGGAGAAGCACTGAAGGGGCAAATAAAGTGGATATTGTGGGGGGGGGGGGTGACAAGACCAGTTCTGGACAATGAAAGAGAGCAGAGCTGTGGGAGGGGCCAAACAGGCTCCACCCACTTCAGGAGGGGGCGGAGACCAGACCAGTCACCCTGCATGAAGAGAGAGCAGAGCTGTGGGAGGGGCCAAACAGGCTCCACCCACTTCAGGAGGGGGCAGAGACCAGACCAGTGCCCCAGCACAAGCAGAGGAAGCAGCAGTGAGCGGTCTTTATTCCAGGATGTCCCACACTGGATGGCGGCTAAGATCCGGAAGCAATACACCGAGATCTCCGAGATTCCGGGGGTGACACACACACATCTCTCGTATTTAGAGGTTTGCTGATCCCGGATTCACAGATTTTCAGCCATAAACAAATGTTTGGGGGTCCTTGGTGTCAGGGGGGTCTTTGGCGTCTACATGTTCATTTCTATTGAAGGGGGATGGGGAGGTGTCGATTATCTTCTAGAAACCAAAAGCTATCAGACCAGCTGTACCCCCCTCCCCCCATCAGACCAGCTGTACCCCCTCTTCCCCATCAGACCAGCTGTACCCCCCTCCCCCATCAGACCAGCTGTACCCCCCTCCCCCCATCAGACCAGCTGTACCCCCCTCCCCCATCAGACCAGCTGTACCCCCCTCCCCCCATCAGACCAGCTGTACCCCCTCTTCCCCCATCAGACCAGCTGTACCCCTCTTCCCCCTTATCCAATCACTACTCCCCCAAATATTTCCTGGTCTGCACCGCCTGCAGGTGATCACCGAGACTGCTCTTCAGTGTGCTCTGTGCTCCCAGGGGTTTGACACCCCCGACAGACAGTCCACAATGCAGGTTATCCTATAGGTAGTTCAGACTATTACCATACAGTGCGCCGCGCTCCTCCACCCTGCAAACACACAAAGAAACACGCAAACACGCCGCAACGCATCACAGTGATCAGAAGAACCCAACGATGAAGGAAGTGAATGATTCTACACACAACAATGTAACAATCCACAGATCATACAATGTACACTGATCTCCTATAGCAGGGCTCTCCAAACTGCGGCCCGGGGGCCGGATGTGGCACTTCACTTGCTTTTATGCAGCCCTTGGGGCGCTATTCCTCCCACTGACACCAATGATGGGGCGCTATTCCTCCCGCTGACACCAATGATGGGGCGCTATTCCTCCCGCTGACACCAATGCTGGGGCGCTATTCCTCCCGCTGACACCAATGATGGGGCGCTATTCCTCCCGCTGACACCAATGATGGGGCGCTATTCCTCCCGCTGACACCAATGATGGGGCGCTATTCCTCCCGCTGACACCAATGATGGGGCGCTATTCCTCCCGCTGACACCAATGATGGGGCGCTATTCCTCCCGCTGACACCAATGATGGGACGCTATTCCTCCCGCTGACACCAATGATGGGGCGCTATTCCTCCCGCTGACACCAATGATGGGGCGCTATTCCTCCCCCTGACACCAATGATGGGGCGCTATTCCTCCCGCTGACACCAATGATGGGGCGCTATTCCTCCCGCTGACACCAATGATGGGGCGCTATTCCTCCCACTGACACCAATGATGGGGCGCTATTCCTCCCCCTGACACCAATGATGGGGCGCTATTCCTCCCGCTGACACCAATGATGGGGCGCTATTCCTCCCGCTGACACCAATGATGGGGCGCTATTCCTCCCGCTGACACCAATGATGGGGCGCTATTCCTCCCGCTGACACCAATGATGGGGCGCTATTCCTCCCGCTGACACCAATGATGGGGCGCTATTCCCCCCACTGACACCAATGATGATGGGCACTATTCCTCCACTGACACCAATGATGGGGCACTATTCCTCCCGCTGACACCAATGATGGGGCGCTATTCCTCCCACTGATACCAATGATGGGGCAATATTCCTCCCATTGATACCAATGATGGGACACTATTCCTCCCACTGACACCAATGATGGGGCACTATTCCTCCCACTGACACCAATGATGGGGCGCTATTCCTCCCACTGACACCAATGATGGAGCACTATTCCTCCCCTGATACCAATGATGGGACACTATTCCTCCCACTGACACCAATGATGGGGCGCTATTCCTCCCACTGACACCAAATGATGGGGCACTATTCCTCCCACTGATGGGGCACTATTCCTCCCACTGACACCAATGATGGGGCACTATTCCTCCCACTGACACCAATGATGGGACACTATTCCTTCCCCTGATACCAATGATGGGGCACTATTCCTCCCACTGATACCAATGATGGGGCACTATTCCTCCCACTGACACCAATGATGGGGCACTATTCCTTCCCCTGATACCAATGATGGGGCACTATTCCACCCACTGACACCAATGATGGGGCACTATTCCCTCCCACTGACACCAACGATGGGGCACTATTCCTCCCACTGACACCAATGATGGGGCACTATTCCTCCCACTGACACCAACGATGGGGCACTATTCCTCCCACTGACACCAATGATGGGGCACTATTCCCCCCACTGACACCAATGATGGGGCACTATTCCACCCACTGACACCAATGATGGGGCACTATTCCTCCCACTGACACCAATGATGGGCCGCTATTCCTCCCACTGACACCAATGATGGGGCACTATTCCTCCCACCCCCTTGTTTTCCTGGCAGCAAATACGTCCCTCCTCCCAATTACTGGGACACCGCCCCTCCCCCCTTATCTGCAGGCAGCTGGAGGGGGCGTTTCCCCTAACTAGTCTTCCTATTGGATAGAGTCTCCCTCGGAGTTCCTGTGATTGGCGGACACGTACCAGCCCTCGAGTCTCCCATATACAGACCCCCCACCCTCTGTGCCCCGGATGTGTCATTGTATATTTATCAGAGGGCAAATCATTACCCCCCCATGTGTACAATGGTGCAGTCCGGGGTGTGTGAGGAAGGCGTTCTCTGATTGGCCGGCTGACGGCATTCCCTTATCTGATAAATTGTAACCTGTGAAGGAGGGCGGAGAGTTCCGACCAATCCGCAGCCAGTCCTCCGCATGACCGACCGCCCGCCCCCCCTTCTGGCCACTCCCCCCGATATATATTATCATCGTTCTATGATCAGGACCCTCCCCGCCCCCTCCCCTCCCCCAGCCAATAGGGAGCGGGGTTATATGCCGGGCTCCTCCCCCCAGGGTGCTCAGAGAAGATGAGCCGGACACATCGCGGAGTCATGCTGCATGTGAGGAGGCTGGTGACCCGGTGCTGGGCGGGGTGAGTATTACCGACCACCGACACCCCCCCATACACCGATCCCCCCCAGTATGAGAGGTATATGACCGGTCACGTGGTCCTAGCTGCATACACTACTACCGCCCCCTATACTGTGCCCATATACTACCGCCCCCTATACTGTGCCCATATACTGCTCTCCCATGTTGTGCCCATATACTACCGCCCCCTATACTGTGCCCATATACTGGCCTCCCATGCTGTGCCCATATACTACCGCCCCCTATACTGTGCTCATATATTGCCCTCCCATGCTGTGCCCATATACTACTGCCCCTCCCATGCTGTGCCCATATACTACTGCCTCTCCCATGCTGTGCCCATATACTACTGCCCCTCCCCATGCTGTGCCCATATACCGCCCCCCCTATACTGTGCCCATATACTGCTCTCCCATGTTGTGCCCATATACTACCGCCCCCTATACTGTGCCCATATACTGGCCTCCCATGCTGTGCCCATATACTACCACCCCCCTATACTGTGCCCATATACTACTGCCCCTCCCATGCTGTGCCCATATACTACTGCCTCTCCCATGCTGTGCCCATATACTACTGCCCCTCCCATGCTGTGTGCCCATATACCGCCCCCCCTCCCATGCTGTGCCCATATACCGCCCCCCCTATACTGTGCCCATATACTGCTCTCCCATGTTGTGCCCATATACTACCGCCCCCTATACTGTGCCCATATACTGGCCTCCCATGCTGTGCCCATATACTACCACCCCCCTATACTGTGCTCATATATTGCCCTCACATGCTGTGCCCATATACTACTGCCCCTCCCATGCTGTGCCCATATACCGCTGCCCCTCCCATGCTGTGCCCATATACCGCCGCCCCTCCCATGCTGTGCCCATATACCGCCCCCCTATACTGTGCCCATATACCGCCCTCCCATGCTGTGCCCATATACCACCGCCCCTCCCATTTTGTGCCCATATACTGTCCTTCTGCACTGTACTCATATACTGAATACCAATATACCGTCCAGCTGGCCTGAGCTGACAGGAAGGGGTTGGTGCTGGCGGTCACTGCACTCAACACATGGGGCAGAAGGACGCAACGCGCAGGGGCAGAAGGACGCAACGCGCAGGGGCAGAAGGACGCAACGCACAGGGGCAGAAGGACGCAACGCGCAGGGGCAGAAGGACGCAACGCGCAGGGGCAGAGAAGAGGAGTAGTAGAGAGGGGAAGACTGAAAAAGTAAAAAATATAAAAAGCCGATCTGGAAGGAATCTGTGGTGACACCACAAGGGATGCTGAGCCAACTGAAAGTCGTGAAATCCAATGAATGAAAGGGGCAGGGACAGTCAGTCTGGGGAAGGGAGGACTAGATGATGCCGGACGTCCTCCATCCATCTCCTATATCTTTATTATTATTATTGCGGCCCGATAACATGTGACAGATTATCAGCCAATCTCATCTTCTGTGTATTGATTCTCGCAGACGGCGATGGCATCACTGTGCAGCGGGGGAGGTGAAGAACGAACCCATCCTGGAATTCAAGCATGGCAGCCCAGAGAGAGCCGCTCTCCAGAAAGTAAGGACCTTTGTAGGACTGGGACCCTCCTGTATATAGGGACAGTATACAGGGACTAGGCCCCTCCCGTATATACGGACAGTATACAGGGACTAGGCCCCTCCCGTATATAAGGACAGTATACAGGGACTAGGCCCCTCCCGTATATAAGGACAGTATACAGAGACTAGGACCCTCCTGTATATAGGGACAGTATACAGGGACTAGGCCCCTCCCGTATATACGGACAGTATACAGGGACTAGACCCTCCCGTATATACAGAGACTAGGCCCCTCCCGTATATACGGACAGTATACAGAGACTGGGACCCTCCTGTATATACGGACAGTATACAGGGACAAGGACCCTCCCATATATAGGGACAGTATACAGGGACAAGGACCCCTCCCGTATATACAGACAGTATACAGGGACTAGGCCCCTCCCGTATATACGGACAGTATACAGGGACTAGACCCCTCCCGTATATAGGGACAGTATACAGAGACTAGGCCCCTCCCGTATATATACGGACAGTATACAGGGACTAGGACCCTCCCGTATATACGGACAGTATACAGGGACTAGGCCCCTCCCGTATATAGGGACAGTATACAGGGACAAGGACCCTCCCGTATATAAAGACAGTATACAGGGACTAGGACCCTCCCGTATATAAAGACAGTATACAGGGACTAGGCCCCTCCCGTATATAAGGACAGTATACAGGGACTAGGACCCTCCCGTATATAAGGACAGTATACAGGGACTAGGCCCCTCCCGTATATACGGACAGTATACAGGGACTAGGACCCTCCCGTATATATGGACATATACAGGGACTAGGACCCTCCCGTATATAAGGACAGTATACAGGGACTAGGCCCCTCCCGTATATAAGGACAGTATACAGGGACTAGGACCATCCCGTATATAAGGACAGTATACAGGGACTAGGACCATCCCGTATATACGGACAGTATACAGGGACAAGGACACTCCCATATATAAGGACAGTATACAGGGACTAGGCCCCTCCCGTATATACGGACAGTATACAGGGACTAGACCCCTCCCGTATATAAGGACAGTATACAGGGACTAGACCCCTCCCGTATATACGGACAGTATACAGGGACTAGGCCCCTCCCGTATATAAGGACAGTATACAGGGACTAGGCCCCTCCCGTATATAAGACAGTATACAGGGACTAGGCCCCTCCCGTATATAAGGACAGTATACAGGGACTAGGCCCCTCCCGTATATAAGGACAGTATACAGGGACTAGGCCCCTCCTGTATATACGGACAGTATACAGGGACTAGGCCCCTCCCGTATATAAGGACAGTATACAGGGACTAGGCCCCTCCCGTATATACGGACAGTATACAGGGACAAGGACCCTCCCGTATATACGGACAGTATACAGGGACTAGGCCCCTCCCCATATATAAGGACAGTATACAGGGACTAGGCCCCTCCCGTATATACGGACAGTATACAGGGACTAGGCCCCTCCCGTATATAAGGACAGTATACAGGGACTAGGCCCCTCCCGTATATAAGGACAGTATACAGGGACTAGGCCCCTCCTGTATATACGGACAGTATACAGGGACTAGGCCCCTCCCGTATATAAGGACAGTATACAGGGACTAGGCCCCTCCTGTATATACGGACAGTATACAGGGACAAGGACCCTCCCGTATATACGGACAGTATACAGGGACTAGGCCCCTCCCATATATAAGGACAGTATATAGGGACTAGGCCCCTCCCGTATATAAGGACAGTATACAGGGACTAGACCCCTCCCGTATATAAGGACAGTATACAGGGACTAGGCCCCTCCCATATATAAGGACAGTATACAGGGACTAGGCCCCTCCCGTATATAAGGACAGTATACAGGGACTAGGACCCTCCCGTATATAAGGACAGTATACAGGGACTAGGCCCCTCCCGTATATAAGGACAGTATACAGGGACTAGACCCCTCCCGTATATAAGGACAGTATACAGGGACTAGGCCCCTCCCGTATATACGGACAGTATACAGGGACTAGGCCCCTCCCGTATATAAGGACAGTATACAGGGACTAGACCCCTCCCGTATATAAGGACAGTATACAGGGACTAGGCCCCGCCTGGGTCACTCTGGTAATAATTGGCTCCGGGGACACTCTCCAGGGTCATCAGATGATTTTGTCCACCAAGTTCCCAGCCAGATCCTGTAAATGATTCGCTGCCAATCCGCTGACTGAGCGTTCCCCGTGACTGTACAGGACTGACCTCATCTGCTGCGGCTCCCAGTCAGCTTTGTAACCTTTTCTATTTCTACAATTTATCTAAAAATTGCAATGCACTTATTGGTCAGGGGGGTCCGTGGATGGGTGCATTGGTCAGGGGTCCACGGATGGGTGCATTGGTCAGGGGTCCGTGGATGAGTGCATTGGCCAGGGGGTCCGTGGATGGGTGCATTGGTCAGGGGTCCACGGATGGGTGCATTGGTCAGGGGGTCCGTGGGTTGATATGAGTGCATTGGCCAGGGGTCCGTGGATGAGTGCATTGGTCAGGGGTCCACGGATGGGTGCATTGGCCAGGGGGTCCGCGGATGGGTGCATCGGCCAGGGGGGTCCGCGGATGGGTGCATCGGCCAGTGGGGGTCCCCGTGGATGGGGTGCATTGGCAAGGGGGTCCGCGGATGGGTTGAATCGGCCAGGGGGGTCCGCGGATGGGATGCAATGGTCAGATCAGGGGGTCCGCGGATTCCATGGGTTCAATGGTCAGGGGGGTCCATGGATGGGTGCAATGGATCCCCCGGGGATCCAAGCGGATGGGTGAATCGGATCCCCAGGGGGATACAAGAGATCCGTGATGGGTGCATTGGTCAGGGGGGTCCGCCGATGGGTTGATTGGCAAGGGATCCGCGATGGGTGCATTGGCCAGGGGGTCCGCGGATGGGTGCATTGGCCAGGGGGTCCCGGATGGGTGCATTGGCCAAGGGATCCCGCGATTGCCCCGATTGGCCAGGGGATCCCGGATGGGTGAATCCAATTGGCCAGGCCAGGGGGGTCCCGATTGGTGAATCGGCCAGGGGGGTCCGCGGATGGGTGCAATGGTTGATACAGGGGGGTCCGCGGATGGGTGAATCGGATCCAGGGGGGTCCAAGAGATGGGTGCATTGGCCAAGGGATCCGCGATTGGGTGCATACCAGGGATCCGTGGATGGGTGAACAAGAGATCGGCCAGGGGGGTTTGCGGATGGGTGCAATGGTCAGGGGGGTCCGCGGATGGGTGATACAATGAGATCAGGGGGGATCCGCGGATCCCCGATTGGGTGCAATGGTCAGGGGGGTCCGCGGATGGGTGAATCGGCCCGAGGGGGTCCGTGGATGGGTGCATTGGTCAGGGGGGTCCAAGAGATCCCCGATGGGTGCATTGGCCAGGGGGTCCGCGATGGGTTGATACAAGCATTGGCCAGGGGAGATCCGCGGATTGGGTGCATTGGCAAGGGGATCCGCGGATGGTTGATGCATTGAGCCAGGGGTCCGCGGATGGGTGATACAAGAGATCCAGATTGGGGGTCCGAGATCCCCGATTGATGGGTGCATTGGCCAGGGGGTCCCGTGGATGGGTGCATTGGATACAAGGGGTCCGCGGATGGGTGCATTGGCAGGGGATCGTGGATGGGAGATTGGCCAGGGGGTTCGTGGATGGGTGGATTGAGCAGTCTAGGCCCGGCGATTGCTCACCTGACCTCTGATTTGTTGAATAGGCACTATACATGAACTTGAGGACAAGACGGAGAGATCCCCTGTGTGGTTGGAGGAGAAGAGGTGTGGACCAACGATATCAGATATCAGGTTTCGGTAAGAATCATTTCTTTACCTTCCATCTATGTTCTCATCTGCATTGAAAAAAAGACTCCCCGGTTGGTTGATACAAGAGATCCCCGATTGATTGATACAAGAGATCCCCGATTGATTGATACAAGAGATCCCCGATCGATTGATACAAGAGATCCCCGATTGATTGATACAAGAGATCCCCGATTCAAGAGATTGATACAAGAGATCCCCGATTGATTGATTGATTGATACAAGAGATCCCCGATTGATTGATTGATTGATTGATACAAGAGATCCCCGATTGATTGATTGATTCGATTTGATACAAGAGATCCCCGATTGATTGATTGATACAAGAGATCGCCGATTGATTGATACAAAGAGATCGCCGATTGATTGATACAAGAGATCGCCGATTGGTTGATACAAGAGATCCCCGATTGATTGATACAAGAGATCCCCGATTGATTGATACAAGAGATCGCCGATTGGTTGATACAAGAGATCCCCGATTGGTTGATACAAGAGATCCCCGATTGATTGATACAAGAGATCACCGATTGATTGATACAAGAGATCCCCGATTGATTGATACAAGAGATCCCCGATTGATTGATACAAGAGATCCCCGATTGATTGATACAAGAGATCCCCGATTGATTGATACAAGAGATCCCCGATTGATTGATACAAGAGATCCCCGATTGATTGATACAAGAGATCCCCGATTGATTGATACAAGAGATCCCCGATTGATTGATACAAGAGATCCCCGATTGGTTGATACAAGAGATCGCCGATTGGTTGATACAAGAGATCGCCGATTGGTTGATACAAGAGATCGCCGATTGGTTGATACAAGAGATCCCCGATTGATTGATATACAAGAGATCCCCGATTGATACAAGAGATGACACAAGAGATCGCCGATTGATTGATACAAGAGATCCGATTGTTTGATACAAGAGATCCCGATTGATTTGATACAAGAGATCCCCGATTGATTGACACAAGAGATCCCCGATTGGTTGACACAAGAGATCCCCGATTGGTTGATACAAGAGATCCCCGATTGGTTGATACAAGAGATCCCCGATTGGTTGATACAAGAGATCCCCGATTGGTTGATACAAGAGATCCCCGATTGATTGATACAAGAGATCCCCGATTGATTGATACAAGAGATCCCGATTGGTTGATACAAGAGATCCCCGATTGGTTGACACAAGATATCCCCGATTGGTTGACACAAGATATCCCGATTGGTTGACACAAGAGATCGCCGATTGGTTGGCACAAGAGATCGCCGATTGGTTGGCACAAGAGATCGCCGATTGGTTGGCACAAGAGATCGCCGATTGGTTGGCACAAGAGATCGCCGATTGGTTGATACAAGAGATCGCCGATTGGTTGATTGACACAAGAGAGATCGCCGATTGGTTGATACAAGAGATCACAGAGGATCTGATAGGCCCCGATGTTATATTTCCTGTTGATTGATGTTTCTCGGGTATTGGAGTTCCCACAGAGGCCCCGAGCTCCATGCATTGTATGGTGGGATACGACCGGGGGGCTATAAATCCCGGGAGGTCTCTGTACTGAGGATTGCACATTTGTTTTTGAATTCTAATTTTTTGTTATTTCGTTTTGACAGCCGTTCAAACATTCACACAAAGTCGCCAAATACTGCTACGCCGACAAGGTGAGGATCTGGGACTTCCCGATCGCGCTGCACCCTTCAAGGATTTCCTGCAAATGTTTCTTTTCCCAGAGATGTGTAATCTCTATCCCGAATACCCTTCTCCCGGCTCCCCGAATCTACCCCGACCCGATTCTCTCTGCCAGTCCCTCAGCCTTGTACCCCAGAGGACCCCTAAAGTAATGGTCAGGGCTCTGCGATACCTTACACAAACCATTCCCTAAGGCCAATGGTAAAAACGGCCCTTACGTTGCTGGTCTGTAGGACCAGTGCCCTCCTTACATTGGTGGTCAGTAGGAACAATGCCTTCCTTACATTGGTGGTCAGTAGGACCAATGCCCCCCTTACATCGGTGGTCAGTAGGACCAATGCCCCCCTTACATTGGTGGTCAGTAGGACCAATGCCTTCCTTACATTGGTGGTCAGTAGGACCAATGCCTTCCTTACATTGGTGGTCAGTAGGACAAATGCCTCCTTACATTGGTGGTCAGTAGGACCAATGCCCCCTTACATTGGTGGTCAGTAGGACCAATGCCCCCTTACATTGGTGGTCAGTAGGACCAATGCCTTCCTTACATTGGTGGTCAGTAGGACCAATTCAGCCTTCCTTACATTGGTGGTCAGTCGCCCAATGACCCCCTTACATTGGTGGTCAGTAGGACCAATGCCTTCCTTACATTGGTGGTCAGTAGGACCAATGACCCCCTTACATTGGTGGTCAGTAGGACCAATGCCCCCCTTACATTGGTGGTCAGTAGGACCAATGCCTTCCTTACATTGGTGGTCAGTAGGACCAATGACCCCCTTACATTGGTGGTCAGTAGGACCAATGACCCCCCTTACATTGGTGGTCAGTAGGACCAATGCCCCCCTTACATTGGTGGTCAGTAGGACCAATGCCTTCCTTACATTGGTGGTCAGTAGGACCAATGACCCCTTACATTGGTGGTCAGTAGGACCAATGCCCCCCCCCTTACATTGGTGGTCAGTAGGACCAATGCCCCCCTTACACTGGTGGTCAGTAGGACCAATGTCTTCCTTACATTGGTGGTCAGTAGGACCAATGCCCCCCCCTTACATTGGTGGTCAGTAGGACCAATGCCCCCCCTTACATACATGGTGATCAGTAGGACCAATGCCCCCCTTACACTGGTGGTCAGTAGGACCAATGCCCCCCCATTACATTGGTGGTCAGTAGGACCAATGCCCCCATTACACTGGTGGTCAGTAGGACCAATGCCCCCATTACACTGGTGGTCAGTAGGACCAATGCCCCCATTACACTGGTGGTCAGTAGGACCAATGCCCCCCTTACACTGGTGGTCAGTAGGACCAATGCCCCCTTACATTGGTGGTCAGTAGGACCAATGCCCCCCTTACATTGGTGGTCAGTAGGACCAATGCCCCCATTACATTGGTGGTCAGTAGGACCAATGCCCCCCCTTACATTGGTGGTCAGTAGGACCAATGCCCCCCTTACATTGGTGGTCAGTAGGACCAATGCCCCCCTTACATTACATGATTTTCTGGTGATAACCGGAGTCTCCATCGCAGGAACTTCTCCACAAAGCCATCAATGCCGCGTTGTCGGCCCGGAAGGAATGGGACCTGAAACCAGTCGAGGACCGCGCACAGATTTTCTTTAAAGCTGCCGACCTTCTGAGTGGCCCCAGGAGAGCGGAGGTTCTGGCCAAGACTATGATTGGACAGGTAGGAACCCTGATAATGAGCAAACCCCGCCCAGTATGTTCCCATCCAATGGGAGGTTCACGTCAAAACCCGCCTGAAATGTCCGGATTTTATTCCTTTTAATGTAATAAAGGCGATAAAGTTTATAGTTTTTTTTATTAATTTTTTTTTTTTTTTTTAGGGGAAAACAGTTATTCAGGCCGAAATCGACGCGGCTGCCGAGCTCATCGACTTTTTCCGATTCAACGCCAAGTACGCCTTGCAGCTGCAACACGAGCAGCCAATCAGTGTGCCCATCAGTACCAACACAATGGTGTACCGCGGCCTGGAGGTACGATAACACGCCAAGGTCACGGGTCGTGGTGGGAGGGGACTAAAAGGAATCAAAAACTCCCGCAAACCTAATCCGGGTGTAGCATAGTAAAGCAGAAGGAGTCTCCAAAACTGAGGGCCCTTTGATGGCCTTTATGCACCCCCCCCCCCCCTCCGGGCACTAATGCTGTAAATGACCCCAATGATGGGGCATTGTTTTCTTCAATGATGGCCCCCTTTGCTGTTCTGTTTGGAGACATCTGCCCAAGGGCCCCAGGTGCATGAGGGCCCCATAATAATCTTGCATTACATCATACTTGCCAACTGTCCCGGATTTTCTGGGACAGTCACGCTTTTTAGTAAGCTGTCCCGGTGTGGCCCGGGTAATGTCCCAGAACCAGTATTGTGTCCTTGGGATCCCAGTATTGTGCCCTCCTCCCCCCATACTGTGCCCACTGCCTTGATTAGTCTTTAATTTATGGTATGTTTTTTTTTTTCCTTGTTAAAATAAATTTTATTGAAATTACTAATAAATATACAGGCGTACCTCGGTTTGCGAATTTAATGCGTTTTCCGTATTGCAAAAAATTCGTAAATGCGGTTTCCCATAGGAATGCATTGAAAACCAAAACCTTTTAGTTTATTTCCCGAGAGAAAAGAAACAATGTTTCCTTTTAGTTGGTTTCCCCGAGATAAAAGAAACAATGTTTCCTTTTAGTTGGTTTCCCGAGATAAAAGAAACAATGTTTCCTTTTAGTTTGTTTCCCGAGATAAAAGAAACAATGTTTCCTTTTAGTTTGTTTCCCGAGATAAAAGAAAAATGTTTCCTTTTAGTTTCTTACCCGAGATAAAAGAAACAAATGTTGCCTTTTAGTTTCTTACCTGAGATAAAAGAAACAATGTTTCCTTTTAGGTTGTTTCCCCAAGATAAAAGAAACAATGTTTCCTTTTAGTTTCTTTCCTGAGATAAAAGAAACAATGTTTCCTTTTAGTTTCTTTCCTGAGATAAAAGAAACAATGTTTCCTTTTTAGTTTGTTTCCTGAGATAAAAGAAATAAATGTTTCCTTTTAGTTTGTTTCCCCGAGATAAAAGAAACAAATGTTTCCTTTTAGTTTGTTTCCCGAGATAAAAGATACAAAGTTTCCTTTAGCTTCGGGGAAAGTGACAGCTAATCCTGTGAGCTATAGTGGAAAAAAAAAAGCGCCGGCAATTGCATTTAAAAATCGGCACCGACATACACTTCGTATTACGAAAAAAAATTCGTAAACCGAGGCGTTATTTTCAATGGATTTTCATTCGTAAACCGAAAATTACGTCAACCGAGGCGTTGGTACACCGAGGTCCGCCTGTATGTTTAATTCTATCAGCCATTTATACTTTACTTCTTGAGAGCAGGTGCATAAATTGGGGCCGGCTGGTAGGGGCCCCAGTGCAATACCTTGCCCTGGGGCCCATGATACGATTGAGTCGGCCCTGATGCTCTGTGTACTCACCTCACGTCCATCTGCTCTGCCTCTTCCAGGGATTTATTGCTGCCGTCTCTCCCGTTCAACTTTACTGCCATTGGAGGAAACCTGGCCGGGGCCCCAGCACTGATGGTGAGTGGTGCGATTACCCAACGGGGCCCAAATTCAAGCAAAATGCCAGCAAATGTCAAAAATCTTTAACCACTCATATGACGTCCTCCCGCATCCCCTCAGCTGCACGCACCCGGCGCTGTCCCTGATTTCTTTGTTCTATGGACACGGCTGATCACATGATCAGGTAAAAGGCCAATCACAGCGGCCTTTTACCACGTGATCAGCTGAGTCCAATGACACATCAGATCACCAGTAAATACAGTTGCTGGTTATCTGATGCACTTTCCTCACAATGTCGGTCAGCGCCGCCCATCAGTGCCACCTATCAGTGCCCACCAGTGAAGCCTATCAGTGCCCATCATTGCTTCATATCAGTGCAGCATCATCAGTGCCCACCAGTGAAGCCTATCAGTGCAGCATCATCAATGCCCACCAGTGAAGCCTATCAGTGCCCATCATTGCTTCATATCAGTGCAGCCTCAGTGCATCCTCGTCAATGCCCACCAGTGCTGCCTCATCAGTGCTGCCTCATCATGCCCATCATGCTGAATATCAGTGCAGCATCATCAGTACCCTCTTATCAATGCCCATCAGTGCTGCCTATCAGTACCCATCATTACATATCAGTGCAGCATCATCAGTGCCTCCTCGTCAATGCCCACCAGTGCTGCCTCATCAGTGCCCATTATTGCTGAATATATAGTTAGTCTGGCTGAAAAAAAACAAAAGTCCATCCAGTTCAACCATTAAAAAAAAAAAAAAATGATAATCCTCCACCCACAGTGGATCCAGAGGTGATACATTGTCAGCTGCTGCACCTGCAGGGTTCTAATGAGGAAAGTGTCAGGGTCTGCATCCCTTTAGATGGGTTTTTCCCCATTGGGAGTACCCCTCCAAAAGTGACATTTCTGTTGCAGGGGATGCCCAAAATCTAACTTGTATCTTAGGGGAAAATCAGTGAGCCAATCACAAAAGCAGGAAATGACATTTCTGGGGGGGGGGGCTCCATCTCTCACAATGGAGTTACTCTTTCAGAATATGGGAGGGTTCCAATCTTTGCATGTTGGGAATTCCTGCAATATCAAGCACTTTCCTGGCACGCGTAGAAATGTGCTGTCCTCTAGCAGATGCATGGCGGCGCCATTGTCACCACACGGTTCAGCACGGTGGATTTTTGAAAGAGGGCCAGGGACTTCTTTTCTTGCGTGTAGTGCAAACCCAGTGAAATAAATAAGCTGGCCCGTGTGAACACGGCCTACACGCAACGCACATATTCGCGCTGGCGCTTGGTTGCACCTGTAGGTATGGACCAAGCCTAAAACCTGGAAATCCCCCATTAGGCGCGCCCATGTGAACGCGGCCTACACGCAACACACAGTCGTGCCGGCGCTTGGATGCACCTGTAGGTATGGACCAAGCCTAAAACCTGGAGATCCCCCATTAGGCGCGCCCATGTGAACGCGGCTTACACGCAACGCACATATTCGCGCTGGCGCTTGGTTGCACCTGTAGGTATGGACCAAGTCTAAAACCTGGAGATCCCCATTAGGCGCGCCCATGTGAACGCGGCCTACACGCAACGCACATATTCGCGCTGGCGCTTGGTTGCACCTGTAGGTATGGACCAAGTCTAAAACCTGGAGATCCCCATTAGGCGCGCCCATGTGAACGCAGCCTACACGCAACACACAGTCGTGCCGGCGCTTGGATGCACCTGTAGGTATGGACCAAGCCTAAAACCTGGAAATCCCCCATTAGGCGCGCCCATGTGAACGCGGCCTACATGCAACGCACATATTTGCGCCGGCGCTTTGTTGCACCTGTAGGTATGGACCAAGCCTAAAACCTGGAGATCCCCATTAGGCGCGCCCATGTGAACGCGGCCTACACGCAACGCACATATTCGCGCTGGCGCTTGGTTGCACCTGTAGATATGGACCAAGCCTAAAACCTGGAGATCTCCTTTAGGCGCGCCCGTGTGAACGCGGCCTACACACAACACACATATTCACGCCGGCACTTGGTTGCACCTTTCAGTATGGACCAAGCCTAATACCTGGAGATACCCATTAGGCGCGCCCGTGTGAACGCAGCCTACACGCAACGCACATATTTGCTCCGGCGCTTGGTTGCACCTGTAGGTATGGACCAAGCCTAATACCTGGAGAACTCCTTTAGGCGCGCCTATGTGAACGCGGCCTACACACATATTCACGCCGGCACTTGGTTGCACCTTTCAGTATGGACCAAGCCTAAAACCTGGAGATCCCCATTAGGCGCGCCCGTGTGAACGCGGCCTACACGCAACGCACATATGTGCGCCGGTGATTGGTTACACCTGTCAATATGGACCAAGCCCAAAATCTGGAGATCTCCTTTAGACACGGCAATTTGAACGCAGCCTACACGAAACGCACATTTTCGCGCCGGCGCTTGGTTGCACCTGTAGGCATGGACCAAGCCTAAAACCTGGAGATCTCCTTTAGGCGCACCCTTGTGAACGCGGCCTACACGCAACACACATATTCACGCCGGCGCTTGGTTGCACCTGTAGGTATGGACCAAGCCTAAACCCTGGAGATCCCCATTAGGCGCGCCCGTGTGAACGCGGCCTACACGCAACACACATATTCACGCCGGCGCTTGGTTGCACCTGTAGGTATGGACCAAGCCTAAACCCTGGAGATCCCCATTAGGCGCGCCCGTGTGAACGCGGCCTCAGACATCCCAGCGCAGTATGTATCCCAGTCTAACAAAAGGCGCGGTTTTAGTGAATTCCTCCACCATCTGAAAGTCTCATTTTGACAGAAGATAGAAAAAAAAACTCCGAAATCCCATCACTTCTCCCCCTCGGATGTTGGAGGATAATTAGAGGACGTCGTGTTCTGTTGTAAAACATGCGCCCACTAATCTCGCCGCATCAGATCAAATGTCGCCAAAAGTAATCCTCGCGGCTGGATAATCCCGAGGCGATCGGCCATTCTTCTCACAGGTTTCATCCACGACCTGAGATCACTACAATCTAGAACTTTCTTCCGATGGGAAGGATCGTCCCACCCACATAAATAGGGGTTAGGAAGGCAGCGCACTTAGTGGGGGAGGGGCGGGTGATAATCGGGTTCAGGTGTTCTCTTTGAAGTCTCATGTCAGACGCACAATGGCTGTTGGGGGTTATTAGACTGTTATCTGCAGGTGCGGAATATGAAGAACCCGTAGAAGTCAGACTGCAGGGAGATCATGGAGGAGCCGCCATTGTCTGCCTGTCAGACGTCCTCTAATTACCTTCCTGCGTGTAGCGGTGTGATCACCGCGTTGTATGTCATCACCGTGTTGTATGTCATTGTAGGACAGCCAGAGGAACAAAGAGGATCTTCAGAAGAGATCAACGATTCTAAACCACGGCTTATGTTCAATGAGCTGCATACCAACGTCTACCTCCTACCCACCATCACCATACATGTCCTACCCACCACCGCCGTACATGTCCTACCCACCACCGCCGTACATGTCCTACCCACCCACCACCGCCACACAAGTCCTACCCAACACCGCCACACAAGTCCTACCCACCATCGCCCTACATGTCCTACCCACCACCGCCACACAAGTCCTACCCACCATCGCCATACATGTCCTACCCACCATCACCATACATGTCCTACCCACCATCACCACATAACTCCTACCCATCATCACTATACATGTCCTACTCACCATCGCCATACATGTCCTACCCATCATCACCACACAAGTCCTACCCACCATCGCCGCATAACTCCTACCCACCATCGCCATACATGTCCTACCCATCATCACCACAAAAGTCCTACCCACCATCGCCGCATAACTCCTACCCACCATCGCCGCATAACTCCTACCCACCATCGCCGCATAACTCCTACCCACCATCGCCGCATAACTCCTACCCACCATCGCCATGCATGTCCTACCCACCATCGCCATGCATGTCCTACCCACCATCGCCATGCATGTCCTACCCACCATCGCCATACATGTCCTACCCACCATCGCCATACAAGTCCTACCCACCATCATCATACATATCCTACCCACCATCACCACATAACTCCTACAAGTCCTACCCACCATCGCCCTACAAGTCCTACCCACTATCGCCATACAAGTCCTACCCACCATCACCATACATGTCCTACCCACCATCACCATCACCATACATGTCCTACCCCACCATCACCATACAAGTCCTACTCACCATCACCATACATATCCTACCCACCATCACCGCATAACTCCTACCCACCATCGCCATACAAGTCCTACTCACCATCACCGCATAACTCCTACCCACCATCGCCATACAAGTCCTACCCACCATCACCATACATATCCTACCCACCATCACCGCATAACTCCTACCCACCATCGCCATACATGTCCTACCCACCATCACCATACATGTCCTACCCACCATCACCATACATGTCCTACCCACCATCACCATACATGTCCTACCCACCATCACCATACATGTCCTACCCACCATCACCATACATGTCCTACCCACCATCACCGCATAACTCCTACCCACCATCACCATAAATGTCCTACTCACCATCGCCATACATGTCCTACCCATCATCACCACACAAGTCCTACCCACCATCGCCGCATAACTCCTACCCACCATCGCCATACAAGTCCTACCCACCATCACCGCATAACTCCTACCCACCATCGCCATACATGTCCTACCCACCATCACCATACATGTCCTACCCACCATCACCATACATGTCCTACCCACCATCACCATACATGTCCTACCCACCATCACCATACATGTCCTACCCACCATCACCATCACCATACATGTCCTACCCACCATCACCATACATGTCCTACCCACCATCACTATACATGTCCTACCCACCATCACCGCATAACTCCTACCCACCATCACCATAAATGTCCTACTCACCATCGCCATACATGTCCTACCCATCATCGCCATACATGTCCTACCCATCATCGCCATACATGTCCTACCCATCATCGCCATACATGTCCTACCCATCATCACCACACAAGTCCTACCCACCATCGCCGCATAACTCCTACCCACCATCGCCATCCATGTCCTACCCACCATCACCATACAAGCCCTACTCACCATCACCATACATATCCTACCCACCATCACCGCATAACTCCTACCCACCATCGCCATACATGTCCTACCCACCATCGCCATACAAGTCCTACCCACCATCATCATACATATCCTACCCACCATCACCACATAACTCCTACAAGTCCTACCCACCATCGCCCTACAAGTCCTACCCACCATCGCCCTACAAGTCCTACCCACCATCACCATACATGTCCTACTCACCATCACTGCATAACTCCTACAAGTCCTACCTACCATCACTATGTAATTCCTACCAGTTATCACCACATAACTTCTATCGTTAGGCCTTGGAAATTCCTGAAACGTTCTGCTCTTCCCCCTCTATCCCCTCTATGCCCCCTCCCCCCCCAACGAGAGTTCCCCTATTAGGACACACTTACAGTTGCAAGAAAAAGTATGTGAACCCCTTGGGATTACGTGGAGTTTTGCATGAATTGGGCATAAAAATGTGCTCTGAATGTCATCTAAGTCACAACAATAGAAGAACACAGTCTGCTGAACATAATACTACAAAAAACATTAGATGTTGCCATGGTTTAATTGCACATAACATGTAAACATTCACAGTGCAGGGAGGAAAAAGTATGTGAGGCCCTAGCTTAATGACTTCTCCCAGAGCTAATTGGAGCCAGGAGTGAGCCAACCTTGACTCCAATCAGTGTGATGATATTGGATGTGTTGCTGACACCTGTTTTGGGTTTACTAGTTTCAAGAAGCACTGTCTGATGTGAACCATGCCTCGCAGAAAAGAGCTCTCAGAAGACCTACAATCAAGAATTGTTGACTTGCATGAAGCTGGAAAGGGTTACAAAAGTATCTCCTTGAGCCTTGATGTTCATGTGTCCACGGTAAGACAGACTGTCTAGAAATGGAGAAAGTTTAGCACTGTTGCTACTCTCCCTAGGCGTGGTTGTCCTGTAAAAATGACTGCAAGAGCACAGCGCAGAATGCTGCATGAGGTAAAGAAGAATCCCAGAGTGTCAGCTAAAGACCTACAGAAATCTCTGGCACATGCTAACATTTTTGTTGACACATCTACAATAAGGAAAACATTAAACAAGAATGGAGTACATGGGAGGACACCACGGAGGAAGCCATTGCTGGCCAAAAAGAAGATTGCAGCACGTTTGAAGTTTGCAAAAGAGCACCTGGATGTTCCACAGCACTACTGGCAGAATATACTGTGGACAGATGAAACCAAGATTGAGTTGTTTGGGAAGAACACACAACACTATGTGTGGAGGAAAAAAGGCACAGCACACCAACATCAAAACCTCATCCCCACTGTGAAACATGGCGGAGGGAGCATCATGGTTTGGGGCTGCTTTGCTGCCTCAGGGCCTGGACGGATTGTTGTCATTGATGGGAAAATGAATTCCAGAGTTTATCAAGACATTTTGCAGGAAAACGTACGACCATCTGTCCGCCAACTGAAGCTCTGCAGAGGATGGGTGATTCAACAGGACAATGACCCAAATCATACAAGTCATTCAACAAAACAATGGCTGCAACAGCACAGAATACGCCTTCTGGAGTGGCCCAGTCAGAGTCCTGACCTCAACCCCATTGAAATGCTGTGGCATGACCTTAAGAGAGCGATTCACACCAGACATCCCAAGAATATTGCTACACTGAAACAGTTTTGTGAAGAGGAGTGGTCCAAAATGACTCCAGATCGTTGTGCAGGTCTGATCTGCAACTACAGGAAACGTTTGGTTGAGGTTATTGCTGCCAAAGGAGGGTCAACCAGTTATTAAGTCCAAAGGTTCACATACTTTTTCCTTCCTGCACTGTGAATGTTTACATGTTATGTGCAATTAAACCATGGCAACATCTAATGTTTGTGTAGTATTATGTTCAGCAGACTGTGTTCTTCTATTGTTGTCACTTAGATGACGTTCAGAGCACATTTTATGCCCAATTCATGCAAAACTCCATGTAATCCCAAGGGGTTCACATACTTTTTCTTGCAACTGTATCTAAATGTGTAGTAGTTATTAACCCCTTTGTGTGGTCTCATGGCAGGGTAATGTGGTCCTGTGGAAGCCCAGCGATACGGCCATGCTGTCCAGTTACGTGGTGTACAACGCCCTCCGTGAAGCCGGCCTGCCCCCCAATGTCATACAGTTTGTCCCGGCAGACGGCCCGGTTTTCGGAGACACCATCACCGGCTCAGAGCACCTCGGTGGAATCAACTTCACAGGAAGTGTACCGTAAGTTCCAGAGAAGGGCGAAGATTTCATTACGGAGGGGGGGCTATTCCAGACATTACGGAGGGGGGGCTATTCCAGACATTACGGAGGGGGGGCTGTTCCAGACATTACGGAGGGGGGGCTGTTCCAGACATTACGGAGGGGGGGCTGTTCCAAACATTACAGAGGGGGGGGCTGTTCCAGACATTACGGAGGGGGGACTGTTCCAGACATTACGGAGGGGGGACTGTCCCAGACATTACGGAGGGGGGGCTACTCCAGACATTACGGAGGGGGGGCTACTCCAGACATTACGGAGGGGGGGGGCTACTCCAGACATTACGGAGGGGGGGCTACTCCAGACATTACGGAGGGGGGGCTACTCCAGACATTACGGAGGGGGGGCTACTCCAGACATTACGGAGGGGGGGACTATTCCAGACATTACGGAGGGGGGGACTATTCCAGACATTACGGAGGGGGGGACTATTCCAGACATTACGGAGGGGGGGACTATTCCAGACATTACGGAGGGGGGGACTATTCCAGACATTACGGAGGGGGGGGACTATTCCAGACATTACGGAGGGGGGGGCTATTCCAGACATTACGGAGGGGGAGCTATTTTGGAGGGGGAGCTATTTTGGAGGGGGAGCTATTTTGGAGGGGGAGCTATTTTGGAGGGGGAGCTATTTTGGAGGGGGAGCTATTTTGGAGGGGGAGCTATTACGGAGGGGGAGCTATTACGGAGGGGGGGGGGCTATTCCAGACATTATTGTTTTGTGTCCTTAAATTTGATTTCATAGTTCCATCACCTCACTACAAACCAAAGTATAGCTAAAGCCAAAACTTCTTTTTGTAGGAAATAATTAACCACCTCCCGTCCGGCCCATGTATATACACAGCCGGACGGTGGCAGTGCAGGGGCAGGTGGGTGTTTATAAAACATCATCCTCCCCACACCCTGCTTGTGCACGCTCCCTGGGAGCGCGCAGCACCGCGATATGGTGCCTGCCGTGTCCTCCGGACACAGTGGAACACCAATCGTCGGACGGGACCTCTGTGCGAGGTCCCGATCATGTGATCACTGATTGGCCAATCAGTGATCACATGCAGAGTAGTAAGCAAGATGTCACTTGTGACATCATTGCTTACTACGTGTGAAATCTGTGAATGATCACAGAGATCACATGGTACAGGGCCATTCACAACAGCCTTGTACCATGTGACAAGCTGTGACCAATCATAGCACACTCAGTAGTTCTCAATGGCTGCAAGAATGCAGCCAGAGAGAAGGAGAAACGATTGCTTTTACAGCCTTTATGGGTGTAAAAGCAATCAGTGTAAAAAAAAAAAATCATCACCCCCCACAAGTAGTACAGTGTCACCATGGTGACTGTACTGCTAGGGGTGATAGTATGTAAAAGAAAAAAAAAACATAATATAAAAAAATAAAAAGTTTAAAAATTATCATTTTTGGTTATAAACTAATTTGGGTTATTTTTTTTGTTACATTTTAGCCAAGATTTATTACATAGCAAAAAAAATAAAAATCCCAGCGGTGAATAAATACAACCAAAATAAAGCTTTATCTGTCTCAAAAAATGCTAACAAATTCATTTGGGTACAGTGTTGCATGACCGCGCAATTGTCATTCAAAGTGTGATAGCGCTGAAAGCTGAAAATTGGCCTGGACTGGAAGGGGGGGGGGGGGGGGGGGGGGTGTCTGGACTGGAAGGGGGGGAGTGTCCGGACTGGAAGGGGGGGGAGTGTCCGGACTGGAAGTGGTTAAAGCCGACGTTTAGTATGCTTGTTATTTGCCCTCCTGGGGGTGTCCGTCTGGATCTGTGGGCGTTCCTAGGCAGGCTGTATTACAGACCAAATCAAAATATACCCAATTCCCTTCCCAAAAGAAAAACTAATAGGATTTTTAAGGTATCATATGTAAAAATTATTACATTTTATTGTCCAAAATGTGAAAAATTCAAGACAGCAAACACCGAGGTATTGTTAGAACCGACACAATCATGTAATATGTCAGAAACTCACGGTTGCATCCCAGGATAATCATGGGGAGGGGCTTAGGCAGTCATCCCCGACGCGTTTCGCTTCCTCAGGGAGATCTGGAGAAAACATTTCTGTTCCAGAGAAACCCGCATGGCTTACAATCAGTTCCCAGAGCCACAAACACCATATGGACTGAGGGACCTGGACCATTCCAAGTACTTGAACCCGACGTTGTCAAACATCAAAAGGCAGAGGTGCCCATAGGCAGGCGGAGCGCGTCACACAACAAAAGGTAAGTCGAGTGATGGGGTAGATGCCGTGGAGGGTTGACACCTGTTGGGAGGGAACCCCGATAGATTCTGGAACATGATGGCATCTTCCGCGTTCCGTCTCTGCATCTGGGAGCCGATTGTAATCCATGGGGATTTCTCTGTAACAGAAACATTTCCAGATCTCCCTGAGGAAGCTGCCTTGTCCGCCGAAACGCGTCGCAGGTGACTGCCTAAGCCCTTCCTCATGATTATTCTGGGATGCGACTGTAAATTTCTGGCATATTACATGATTTTGTTGGTTTTAACAATATATCAATGTTTGTTGTCTTGAATTTTTAACCTTTTGTACAAAAAAATGTAAACATTTGGTATTTTACTTTGAAAATCCTATTCGTTTATCTTTCGGTAGGGAGTTTTATATTTCAGTGTCATTTCAATAGAGGATGTGGTACCAATAAAACGGTGGACTGAAATCCACTGAGTTTAAGGGGCGGGGCCAGGGAAAGTCAGGCTGGGGAGGAAAAGCTAGATGATGCTGGGTGTCCTCCAGCCAGAAAATGAGGTGGAGCTCTGTCTGCAGCTTCTAATGCACATTGTGAGACGCTCCCAGTGTGCAGTCACATTGGAGGAAGCCGTTTCAGACCAGAGGAGCCGGTACACCTGTGCAAGACTGGAGGGGAGGAGCCGGTACGCCTGTGCAAGACTGAAGGGGAGGAGCCGGTAGCCTGTGCAAGACTGCCTGACTGCAAGACGCCTGTGCAAGACTGGGGAGGAGCCGGTACGCCTGTGCAAGACTGAAGGGGAGGAGCCGGTACGCCTGTGCAAGACTGGAGGGGAGGAGCCGGTACGCCTGTGCAAGACTGGAGGGGAGGAGCCGGTAGGAGCACCCTGTGCAAGACTGGAGGGGAGGAGCCGGTACACCTGTGCAAGACTGGAGGGGAGGAGCCGGTACACCTGTGCAAGACTGGAGGGGAGGAGCCGGTACACGCCTGTGCAAGACTGGAGGGGAGGAGCCGGTACACCTGTGCAAGACTGGAGGGGAGGAGCCGGTACACCTGTGCAAGACTGGAGGGGAGGAGCCGAGACCGGGGAGGAGCCGGTACACCTGTGCAAGACTGGAGGGGGAGCCGGTAGTGCCAGACTGGGGAGGAGCCGGTACACCTGTGCAAGACTGGAGGGGGGAGGAGCCGGCACTCCTGTGCCAGACTGGAGGGGAGGAGCCGGCACACCTGTGCCAGACTGAAGGGGAGGAGCCGGCACACCTGTGCCAGACTGAAGGGGGGAGGAGCCGGCACACCTGTGCCAGACTGAAGGGGAGGAGCCGGCACACCTGTGTGCCAGACTGAAGGGGGGGAGGAGCCGGCACACCTGTGCCAGACTGAAGGGGAGGAGCCGGCACACCTGTGCCAGACTGGAGGGGAGGAGCTGTACTGAAGGGGAGGAGCTGTGCCAGACTGAAGGGGAGGAGCCGGCACACCTACAAGGGGAGGAGCCGGCACACCTGTACAAGGGGAGGAGACTGTACAAGAAATGGCTTTAGACAAAATAAAAAAAACAGAGACGGATTGGAGAGCAGATGAAATATACAATGTTACCACATCAAATGTATGACTCCCATATCCCAGCGGAGATCCGGGGGACTCAGTAGAAGACTGGGGGCCCCTAGCCATAGGCCGCTCATTGGGGAAATGTATCCTTCAATTTCCATGCTGTAGACACAACAGGAAGTCAGAAGCAAATTTATCCAAAGTAAAAGTAAAATTCCCAATTCGTTGTCACCAGAACCGATGTCCTCATTGGCAGATTCCCTCTCTATTCCTGTCCTAGGAGGTTTGGATTTTTCCTCACTTTCAGGCCCATTGGGGTGGTCACCAGGACAGATACAGAAGGTGAATCTCTGCAGCGGGGACGAGGGCTGGGGATAAGGGGGTACCACCAGTCCTCCTGTACGGGGCCCAGGCCAGTAGGGGGGCCCAAGCAGCTGGGTGAATCAGATGAGGGCAGGGAAGGTGATCAGCATGGTGGGGGGGGAGCAGTTACTGGAACCGATCCCCTGTATGGCTCTCCCTGCAGCAGCTGAAAGCCGGCTTCTTCTCTCCCTCATCTGCTGTAGAGGAGAGCCATACAGGAGATCGATTCCAATAATCGCCCCTTCCTTTCCTGAATGAACACAATGAGTGATTGGTACTGATCACTCAGTGTGTTCATTCATAGCTGAAGCATAGTAAAACTGTGTTTTTTTTGGGGGGGGGCGGGGGTGAGGCCCTGTCAGGTTTGCTGTACGGGGCCCCGTGGCTTTTGTCAGCAGGCGGGGACACACAAAGCAATGCCAGGGGTTCGAACCCTTTCCTTCCTAAAAATGCCTTTAGATACACGAACACTGAAGTGCGCAATTCTGTTTTTGTGTATTATTACTGTTGCTTTGTATACGGCCAGAATTTTTTTTCTTTTTATACCTAGAACCTTCAAGAGGCTTTGGAAACAAACCGCAGAGAATCTGGACCGATACCGGACCTTCCCCCGCCTGGCTGGAGGTGAGCGGGTTTGACCTCAGATCTGTACAGCAAGGAACGTGTTTTTGTTTTTTGTTTTTTTATTCTTTTTTTTTTTATTGTAGAACCTCCTTCCCAACATGAGGTTCACATGAAGCGTTTTCTGCAGAGTTTTGCGATTTGCAGAAACGTGATTTCCTACGGGACCGGTTCACACCTGTGTATCTTCACTCGCTGCGGTTTTTTGGAAAAGGGCGGGGACTGTTTAGAATGCAAATAGTTGCGTTTTTTGGTTCTATAGACTTCAATGGAAACGCTTCAAAAAAAGCGTTTCTGCTGTGTTTTTGCCGCCTTTTGCATTTTAAATCTGCCTAGCAACAAGAAAAAAAAAAACACACTGCAAAAAACGCAACGTAAAGCTCAAACGCAACCTGCATAGGTGTGCACTACATGATTCTTCTCTCTCCATCTCCCACTGCAATCACTACAGGTGCTCTTAGACAGGAGAGCAGTAGAGAAGCTGGCGACTACCCTGTGCACCTCCAGGTGCCGGTGGTTTCCATGACAGCTGCCCATATATCACTAAAACCCAAAAAAACAAAAATGTCATATTGTAGCTTGCCAGTCATTGGATGTGGTGGTTGCATTAGTTTTCTTTTTCAAGCATTTATTCCTGTATGTTGGCTTCAATGGAAATGCTGCAGAAAAGCATGGAGTGCGTTTCTGCCATGTTTTTTGCCGCCTTTTGCGTTTTAAATCTGCCTAGCCACAAGAAACAAAAAAAACACGCTGCAAAAACGCAACGTAAAGCTCAAACGCAACCTGCATAGATGTGCACTACATGATTCTTCTCTCCATCTCCCACTGCAATCACTACAGGTGTTCTTAGACAGGAGAGGATTAGAGAAGCTGGCGACTACCCCGTGCACCTCCAGGTTCCAGTTTTCCATGACTGCTGCCCATACAGGGGCAGACTGACCATTTGGAAACTCAGGCACTGCCCGAGGGCCCGGGGTCAGTAGGGGGCCCCATGAGATGCCCCTGGTACCTTTTTCATAGGCTTTTTTGAGTTTGGGCAAGGACACAGGGGCCCCATGATCCCATATTGCCTGGGGGGCCCCATGAGTTGTCAGTCCACCCCTGCGCCCAAATATCACGAAACCCAAAAAATCAAAAATGTCATATTTTTGTAGCTTGCCAGTCATTGGATGTGGTGGCTGCATTAGTTTTCTTTTTCAAGCATTTATTTCTGTATGTTGACCTTCTGATCAGCCAATAAGACACGTCCTGTCTTAGGGTGGGCTACAGGGGCGGACTGACCATTCAGACACTCGGGCACTGCCCGAGGGCCCGCGGTCAGTAGGGGCGCCATGAGATGCCCCTGGTACCTTTCATAGGCTTTTTTGGGTGTGGTTTGAGTGTAGGCAAGGACACAGGGGCCCCATGATCTCCTATTGTCCGGGGGCCCCATGAGTTGTCAGTCCGCCCCTGGGTGGCTACATTCACTTCCGCACTGTATCTATGGAAGGGTAACGTAGCGCCCCCTGAACCGCAGCGGAGAGGGTGGTGTTGGATGGACTGGTAGATTTAGATGGACTTATAGAATAGAAATATATATAGAATACAATAGAAAGCCAAACTCCAGCTCACACTTATTGATCAGTTACAGCAAATTTTACATAAATGAATAAAAGCCGATCATTGTGAGCACCCCCCCGTCATTGGTAAATGGTTTGTCCCAACCATCTCTACCCGTCATTTTTGCCGGGTCCATTAACCGCGTCCCGCCCGCCATATAAGGAAATGACGGGTGCAAGGCGGTTCTCTTGTTCTGGGAGGAGTCATATGACATCCTCCCACTCTAACCGCGCGTGTGTCGTTCCGGAAGCGTGCAGCGCGGCGATCAGCGGTGCGCTGTATCCCTCGGACACAGCGGATCAGCGATCAACGGAAAGAGCCGAAGATGTCGGCTCGGTCATGTGATCGGCTGTGTCCAATCACAGCTGATCCAAAGCTGTGTCCAATCACAGCTGATCACATGTAAACAGGGAATTGCCGGTTATTGGCACGAGCTGTCACGCTGACAGAGGCGAGGAGAGCCAGTAATCGTCATTCCTCAGAGGGGACATGTACACTGATGATCAGTGTAGCCCCAGCAGTGCCACCTGTCAGTGCCTCACGAATGCCGCATATCAGTGCCCATCTGAGCTGCCTTTCAGTGCCACCTATCAGTGCTGCCAATCAGTGCCACCTATCAGTGCTGTCAATCAGTGCCAGTCAGTGCCGCCTATCAGTGCTGCCTATCAGTGCCAGTCAGTGCCACCTATCAGTGCCATATGAGTGTTGCCTTTCAGTACCCATCAGTGATGCCTATCAATGCCCATCAGTGCCTCCCCATTGCCACATATCAGTGCCTACCAGTGCACATCAGTGCCCATCTGAGCTGCCTTTCAGTGTCACCTATCAGTGCCAGTCAGTACCGCCTATCAGTGCCATATATGAGTGTTGCCTTTCAGTGATGCCTGTCAATGCCCATCAGTGCCAGCTACTAATGCCTCCTCATCAGTGTCACCTATCAGTGCAGCCTATCAGTGCCCATCACTACAGCCTCATTAGTGCACATCAGTGAAGGAGAAAAATCACTTATTTACAAAAATTTATAACAAAAACTAAGAAAAAATTAGTTTTTTTGAAATTTTTCAGTTGTTTTTGGTTTGTTTAGCGTAAAATAAACCCCCCCCCCCCCCCCCCCCCCCCCCCCCCCCCCCCCGAGGTGATTAAATACCACCAAAAAAAGCTCTATCTAAAAAAAAAATGATAAAAATTTCATCTGGGTACAGTGTTGCATGACTGCGCAATTGTCATTCAAAGTGCGACAGCACTGAAAGCTGAAAACTGGCCTGGACTGGAAGGGGGTATAAGTGCCCTGTAGGCGAGGGGTTCAAGGAAGTTGAAAAACAACAGACTTGCTGGCAGGATCACCAGCAGGGGCGGACTGACCATTTGGAAACTTGGGCACTGCCTGAGGGCCCGGGGTCAGTAGAGGGCCCGGGGTCAGTAGGGGGCCCCATGAGATGCCCCTGGTACCTTTTCATAGGCTTTTTTGAGTGTGGGCAAGGACACAGGGGCCCCATGATCCCCTATTGCCCGGGGGCCCCATGAGTTGTCAGTCCGCCCCTGGTCACCAGGGAATACAACCATGTTACAGGAGGTACTGCCCCCCCCAACAGATGACATCATAGATATAATTTCTGTTTTTTCCCAGTAAAAAAACCACTTGAACCCTCGCAGTAAAAATGTCCATTCTTCCTCCACAGAATGCGGTGGGAAAAACTTCCATTTCGTTCACAAGTCCGCCGATGCCGAGAGCGCCGTGAATGGCGCCATCCGATCGGCGTTCGAGTACAGCGGTCAGAAATGCTCGGCCTGCTCGCGGCTCTACGTTCCGGACTCTCTGTGGCCCCGGATCAAAGCCAGGCTGCTGGAGGAACACGCCAAGATCAAAGTGGGAAATGTGAGTGGAGATTTCCCTTCTCGTTAGGGGTCTCTTTTCCTTTTTTTTTTTCGGGGCTCAGCGGGAGTCTGATGGGATTAGAAGGCGCGTTAGGCCTCCACTAATACCTGCTGAACCATCCGACTCGCTTATCCTGTCAAGAGCTGGAAAAAAAAAAAAAAAAAAATTGGAGAATGTCGGGAATTCGGTTGGAATTTATTGTAAGTAGCCGTTAACCCGACGCGTTAATTGAAAAGAAGTGTCCTTGTTCCCTGTCAGGTGGGACGTGTAATTTTAGAAGCTGAAGGTTGTGCGAGGATTTAGCGGGGGCTTCTGCGCGGCTTTTGATCCATGACATGCACTTAGGAGATTTGGGGAACATATTAATGAGCTGCACGACGCTGATATCCTCTGATCTGCCTTCTCTGCTTTAATTCCCAGCCCGCCGATGACTTCAGCACCTTCACCTCGGCCGTTATTGATGAAAAGGCAAGTAGTGGGATTTGCTCTTTAATCTGGATTACACGTGTCGGGGAGAGTGACCGGCCATAGCTGCCCCGAAACCGGCACCCTTCCCGCTCCGGTGAGAGGACCGAGCCGCCTTCCTACACGTTGTGCCATTTACACCGCGCTGCAGGTCGGCCGGGAAGAGAACGGCGGTTATAATTGTCACCCATTAATTGTCAGCTTCCTCCAGTTGTGTCTCACGGGATATCCAACCAATAGAAGCCACTTCTACAGTATAGAGAATACCATGTGACCAGGACATCAGTCATGGAGGTCTCCTATAATAGAGGCACAAGGCCAACACCTGCACCACCTCCAACACAAATACTCCACGGGTGCCCCCCCCCCCCCCCTTCTCTCTGTCTGTCCCTCACTTTCTGCTCTCCTCACTCTCTGGTTTTCTCTCTTTCTCCCACCGCTTTGTCTCTTTCCTTCTGGTTTTCCCTCCTTTTCTCACCCCTCATTCTTTCCCCCCTTCTCTCTTTTCTTTTCTTCTCTCCCTCACCCCTCTCATGCTCTCTCTCGCTTTTTCTTTCTTTCCCTCCTTCTTTCCCGTTCCCTTCTCTTGTCCTTCTCTCTCCCTCTTCCCCACCTTTCTCTCCTTCTTTCCCTTCTCTCTCTTTTCTTCTCTCACCCCCTTTCTTCCTTTCCTTCTGACACCCGTCTCTCTTTCACTTTCTCTACCACCTTCTCTCTTTCCATTTCCCGCCCCTTCTCCCCTTCGTGCCATCTTTCCTTCTCTCTCTTTTCTTCTTCTCTCACTCTCTCCCACCTTTTCTGTTTTTTTCTTTCTTTCCCTCCATCTCGCTTTCTCCTTCTCTCAGCCTTTTCTTTCTCTCTCCCACATTCTCTCTTTTACTTTCTATCCCACCTTCTCGCTTTCCATCTTTCTCCCATCTCTTTTTTTTCTTTCCCTCCTTCTCTCTCCATTTCCTTCTCTTTCTCTCTTTGTTGCCATTTCCTTTTCTCTTTTCTTCTTACTTTCCCTTCTCTGTCTGTCTATCTCCTCTCAACATCCCTCTCTTTTTCTTTTTTCCCTCCTCTCTTCTCTCAACCCCTCTCCCTCCCACCTTTTCTCTCTTTTTCTTTCCCTCCTTCTCTCTCTCGCTCTCTCTCTCTCTCTCTCTCGCCCTTTTCTTTCTCTTTTTATTTCTTTCCCTCCTCTCTTTCTTTCCATCTCTCATTCCTCTCTCTCCTACCTTCCCTGTCATTCCCTCCTTTCTCTGTTTCTTTATCTCACCCCACTCTCACTTTCCTTCTGTCTCACCCACCTCTCTATTTCCCTTCTTCTCTCTCCATTTCCTTCTCATTCTCCCCTTCTTGCCATTTTCTTTTCTTCTCCCTTTGTCTTCTTCGCTGTCTCTCTCCTCTGAACATCTCTCTCTTTTTCTTTCTTTCTCTCCTCTATTTTCCTCTCCTCCTCTATCTCTCCCTCTCCTTCTCTCTCTCTCTTTTCCCCCCTCCCCCCCTCTCTCGCTCTCTCTCCTCTCCCCCCCTTCCTCTCTCCTCTCTCCCCCCCTCTCTCCTTCTCTCCTCTCTCTCTCCCCCCCCCTCTCATCTCCCCCCTCTCTCCCCCCTCTCTCCTTCTCTCTCTCATCTCCCCCCTCTCTCCTTCTCTCTCTCATCTCCCCCCTCCCTCCCACTCTCTCCTCCCCTTCCGCCCTCCCTCTACCCCCCTTCTCCCCCCCCACTCTCTCTCACAAGCTGCTTTCTGCCGCCCCCCCCCCCCCTTATAAACGGTAACCCCACAGACGGGTGTGAAGTGTCACCGCAGCTCTGCCTTCATATAATGACATTCTTCTGTGTATTAAATATAAAATTTCTCTCTCTGAATTGTTCGTCTTTCCTCCTCAGTCATTCAGGCGGATCCAAGGTTGGATCAAACACGCCAAAGAGTCGCCCAACCTCACCATCCTGGCCGGGGGGGGACTGCGATGACAGAGTCGGATACTTCATAGAACCCACAATCATCGAGACCAAAGACCCCAAGGAGAAGATGATGGCGGAGGTAACGGGGTGGGGTCAGGATGGGAATGTTCTGGGATATGGGCCGGGACGGGAGTGTTCTGGGATACGGCTGGCCGGGGGCGGGACGGGAGTGTTCTGGGATACGGGGCGGGGGCGGGACGGGAGTGTTCTGGGATACGGGGCGGGGGCGGGACGGGAGTGTTCTGGGATACGGGCCGGGGGCGGGACGGGAGTGTTCTGGGATATGGCTGGCCGGGGGCGGGACGGGAGTGTTCTGGGATATGGCTGGCCGGGGGCGGGACGGGAGTGTTCTGGGATACGGGGGGGGGGGCGGGACGGGAGTGTTCTGGGATATGGCTGGCCGGGGGCGGGACGGGAGTGTTCTGGGATACGGCTGGCCGGGGGCGGGACGGGAGTGTTCTGGGATACGGCTGGGGGGCGGGACGGGACGGTTTCTGGGATACGGCTGGCCGGGGGGGGACGGGAGTGTTCTGGGATACGGCTGGCCGGGGGCGGGACGGGAGTGTTCTGGGATACGGCTGGCCGGGGGCGGGACGGAGTGTTCTGGGATACGGGGCGGGATACGGCTGGCCGGGGGGCGGGGGCGGGACGGGAGTGTTCTGGGATATGGCTGGGATACGGGAGTGTTCTGGGATATGGCTGGCCGGGGGCGGGACGGGAGTGTTCTGGGATACGGGGTGGGCCGGGGGTTCTGGGATATGGCGGCGGGACGGGGGAGTGTTCTGGGATACGGCTGGCCGGGGGCGGGACGGGAGTGTTCTGGGATACGGCTGGCCGGGGGCGGGACGGGAGTGTTCTGGGATACGGCTGGCCGGGGGCGGGACGGGAGTGTTCTGGGATACGGCTGGCCGGGGTGTTCTGGGATACGGCGGGACGGGAGTGTTCTGGGATACGGCTGGCCGGGGGCGGGACGGGAGTGTTCTGGGATACGGCTGGCCGGGGGCGGGACGGGAGTGTTCTAGGATACGGCTGGCCGGGGGCGGGACGGGAGTGTTCTGGGACGGGGAGTCAGACTTGTGGGGAAGTTGAGTTGGGTGCAGTAAACGATCAGTGAATGTACAACGTTTACATACAATGAACACTACACAGGGGGTCAGGAATCGCTCTGCTCAGGAGGAGATATTGCTGTGCAGACCGCAAATACCTTTACTGTTGGTGTCTCTTTGCTGGAAAATCTCTGATCAAAATGTGTATCCCCGTGATTTCTGCCTGGGGAGGGGGGGGTATGCTGCCTCGCAGGGGTCCCCTGTATCCCCGTGATTTCTGCCTGGGGAGGGGGGCTATGCTGCCTTGTGGTTGCACAGAGAGGCACAGGATCTGTAGGAGGAGTTCTCTCCTCCTTTCTGCTGCCGAAACAAGGTGGGGTGGAGACGAGGGGGTGCTGCGGTTGCACGGAGAGGCGCAGGATCTGTAGGAGGAGTTCTGTTCTCCTTTCTGCTGCCGACTGCTAAGACAATTAGGGGTGGGGACCAGGGAGGTGTGAGGGCCACATAGAGTGGCCTAGCAGGGTGGATTTGGCTCGCAGGTCTCGTGTCTGACACAATGGAGGGTATTGTACATGTAGATGGATGGATGGATGGATCCATGACTCGCACCGTTGTGAGGCTCTTCTATGCGGAGCGGTTCCCTTTCCTTCCTGTTGTACATACATTGGTAAATGTTATGACACGGTATACATGATTGCTGTGCTCTTGGACTGCACCTATGTGACATGTATGTATCTCGTGTTGCAGGAAATCTTCGGACCCGTGCTGACAGTTTACGTTTATCCAGAAAACGAGTATAAAGACGTCCTGAGACTTATAGACACCACTTCCCCGTACGGCCTGACGGGGGCAGTGTTCTCCCAGGATAAGTAAGTCCTTCTGTGTGACGTCCCGGTGCGTACCCCTCCCGTCCTTCTACAACCAGCGTCAGGAAATGTTCGATGGGAAATCGTCGGTAAATGCACTATTCCTCCCACTGACACCAATGATGGGGCACTATTCCTCCCACTGACACCAATGATGGGGCACTATTCCTCCCACTGATACCAATGATGGGGCACTATTCCTCCCACTGACACCAATGATGGGGCACTATTCCTCCCACTGATACCAATGATGGGGCGCTATTCCTCTCACTGATACCAATGATGGGGCACTATTCCTCTCACTGATACCAATGATGGGGCACTATTCCTCCCACTGACACCAATGATGGGGCACTATTCCTCCCACTGACACCAATGATGGGGCACTATTCCCCCGCTGACACCAATGATGGGGCGCTATTCCTCCCACTGACACCAATGATGGGGCACTATTTCTCCCCCTGACTGACACCAATGATGGGGCACTATTCCTTCCACTGACACCAATGATGGGGCACTATTCCTCCCACTGATACCAATGACGGGGCACTATTACCCCCACTGACACCAATGATGGGACGCTATTTCCTCCCACTGACACCAATGATGGGACGCTATTCCTCCCACTGACACCAATGATGGGGCGCTATTCCTCCCACTGACACCAATGATGGGACGCTATTCCTCCCCCACTGACACCAATGATGGGGCGCTATTCCTCCCACTGACACCAATGATGGAGCATATCTTCTTCCACTGACACCAATGATGGGGCGCTATTCCTCCCACTGACGCCAATGATGGGGCGCTATTCCTCCCACTGACGCCAACGATGGGGCGCTATTCCTCCCACTGACGCAAACGATGGGGCGCTATTCCTCCCCCTGACGCCAACGATGGGGCGCTATTCCTCCCACTGACGCCAACGATGGGGCGCTATTCCTCCCCCTGACGCCAACGATGGGGCGCTATTCCTCCCCCTGACGCCAACGATGGGGCGCTATTCCTCCCCCTGACGCCAACGATGGGGCGCTATTCCTCCCACTGACGCCAACGATGGGGCGCTATTCCTCCCCCTGACACCAACGATGGGGCACTATTCCTCCCACTGATACCAATGACGGGGCACTATTACCCCCACTGACACCAATGACGGGACGCTATTCCTCCCACTGACACCAATGACGGGACGCTATTCCTCCCACTGACACCAATGATGGAGCATATCTTCTTCCACTGACGCCAATGATGGGGCGCTATTCCTCCCACTGACGCCAACGATGGGGCGCTATTCCTCCCACTGACGCCAACGATGGGGCGCTATTCCTCCCACTGACGCCAACGATGGGGCGCTATTCCTCCCACTGACGCCAACGATGGGGCGCTATTCCTCCCACTGACGCCAACGATGGGGCGCTATTCCTCCCCCTGACGCCAACGATGGGGCGCTATTCCTCCCCCTGACGCCAACGATGGGGCGCTATTCCTCCCCCTGACGCCAACGATGGGGCGCTATTCCTCCCCCTGACGCCAACGATGGGGCGCTATTCCTCCCCCTGACGCCAACGATGGGGCGCTATTCCTCCCCCTGACGCCAACGATGGGGCGCTATTCCTCCCCCTGACGCCAACGATGGGGCGCTATTCCTCCCCCTGACGCCAACGATGGGGCGCTATTCCTCCCCCTGACGCCAACGATGGGGCGCTATTCCTCCCCCTGACGACGCAACGATGGGGCGCTATTCCTCCCCCTGACGCCAACGATGGGGCGCTATTCCTCCCCCTGACGCCAACGATGGGGCGCTATTCCTCCCCCTGACGCCAACGATGGGGCGCTATTCCTCCCCCTGACGCCAACGATGGGGCGCTATTCCTCCCCCTGACGCCAACGATGGGGCGCTATTCCTCCCACTGACGCCAACGATGGGGCGCTATTCCTCCCACTGACGCCAACGATGGGGCGCTGTTCCTCCCACTGACGCCAACGATGGGGCGCTGTTCCTCCCACTGACGCCAACGATGGGGCGCTGTTCCTCCCACTGACGCCAACGATGGGGCGCTGTTCCTCCCACTGACGCCAACGATGGGGCACTATTCCTCCCACTGACACCAACGATGGGGCGCTGTTCCTCCCACTGACGCCAACGATGGGGCGCTATTCCTCCCACTGACACCAACGATGGGGCGCTATTCCCCCCACTGACACCAACGATGAGGCGCTATTCCTCCCACTGACACCAACGATGGGGCGCTATTCCTCCCACTGACACCAACGATGGGGCGCTATTCCTCCCACTGACACCAACGATGGGGCGCTATTCCTCCCACTGACACCAACGATGGGGCACTATTCCTCCCACTGACACCAACGATGGGGCACTGTTCCTCCCACTGACACCAACGATGGGGCACTGTTCCTCCCACTGACACCAACGATGGGCACTGTTCCTCCCACTGACACCAACGATGGGGCACTGTTCCTCCCACTGACACCAACGATGGGGCACTGTTCCTCCCACTGACCACCAATCCTAGGGCATTTTCTACTCCCACTGGCCACAGTTCGGCCCCATATGATTTGGAGGGCAGTAAACTGGCCATTTGTTTCAAAAGTTTGGAAACGTTTTGGCTCTAATGTCTCTTATTGGTGGAATGTTTCCCATGGTTTGGTAATGTTCATTGTTTTCCTTCTGTCACAAGGAATGTTCTACAAGAAGCTACAGAGGTTCTGAGGAACGCCGCAGGGAACTTCTACATCAATGATAAGTCCACGGGGGCCGTTGTGGCCCAGCAGCCCTTCGGAGGGGCCCCGAGCATCAGGTGAGCCAACCAACCAGAAAGCATCGCTGTATAACCAACTCCATGACTGATGGCTTTCAGGAAGCCTTGCAGATGCGCTAGTCAGATGGGCCTACTTCAGTATGCATGTGGGTGGGGGTTGTACCTTCCTGTCCCATGATTCCGAGGACTCTAATCACTTGTCTACCAAGGTACATCAATAAAGGGCATGATAGACAAAGGGTTAAATCCAGCTCATGACTGCTGCTGCTGCATCCACGAGCAAAGGACCAACTTTAAGAGCCAACAAAGTGACCCAGGCTACTCTAAAGCCACCCAATCCTTTTCATGGGGCTTGGAAAGTGTGCCGCTGCCCCCCCCCCCATCCCCCACTGTCAGCACCATCAGCGGCTCCTGGGATCTTTAGTTCCCCCGGGAGAGCTCAAATCCTCGCAGGAACCCTCATCCACAGCGAAAGCAGGCGGAACTTGTAGAACATCCGTTCCCCGACCCCCCCTGCGTCGTGTATTACATCACTTCCGGGGTCACAGTTGTCATTCCTCGGCTAGTGCAGCTATTCAAGAACCATCTCTGCTCAGATAGCTGCAGAGCACCGCTCACCTGCCCATGCTGTCACCTAGGGGGCTTGTTAGCCCCCTGGTCATAGCAATAAAATGGTAAAAAAAAAAAAGTAAACAAAATATAAATGATAAAAAAAAATTATATAAAATAAATTTAAATTTATATCATATAAAAAAAAAATTAAATCACCCCCCCCCCCCCCCCCGTCATTCCTGTACGCACCCCATATAATAATTATTATACAGTATTTATATAGCGCCAAAGGGTATGCTCAGCGCTGTACAATATAGTGGGGGACAGAACATGAGACAGAACAAAACACGAGGGGTGCGAGGGCCCTGATCCTGGGAGCTTACAATCTAGGAGGGAGGGGGTAGTGGTACAGGAAGAAGTGGCTGTGGGGGATGGAGTGGTAGGAGGAGTGGAGGAGATCGGTTGATAGGTGAGGGCGGGGTAGGCTTCCCTGAAGAGATGGGTTTTCAGGGTGCGCCTGAAGGTGAGGAGGGTAGGGGACAATCTGATGGATTGGAGTAGGGAGTTCCAGAGGATGGGAGAAGTCCTGCAGTCGGGCGTGGGGAGGAGGAGACCAGGGTGCTGGAGAGTAGGAGGTCTTGTGAGGAGCGAAGATTATGGGTTGGGTTGTATTTGGGTATCAGGTCAGTGAGGTAGTTTGGGGCGGCGTTATGGATGGCTTTGTATGTCAGTGTTCGTAGTTTGAATTAATAATCACAACATATGGCGATATATATATATATATATATATATATATATATATATAAAAAAAAATAATAAATATATATAATAATAAAAAATAAAAAATAATATATATATATAAAAAAAATAATAAATAATATATAATTAAAAAAATAATATAATATATATATAAAAAAAAAAAATAAATATATATAATAAAAAAAAAAAAAAAATATATATATATATATATAAAAAAAAATAAAAATATATATATATATATATATATATATATATATATAATAAAAAAAAAAAATATATATATATATATAAATAAAAAAAAATAATAAATATATATATATATATAATAAAAAAATAATAATAAAAAATATATATATATATATATATATAATTTTATGAATATATATAAAAATATATATTTTTTAAATCCCCCCCCCCTTATTCCCTGTACGCACCCCATATAATAAATTTTGTTTTACAAAAATTGGGTATACTATTGTGCTTGTTTGCACTGGAATATATTTTTAGTGTATTTTTTTTTTTTTTTTATGAAAGTTGTGCAAAGATCACACAACAGAAAAAGATGCCGACTACCCCCATCCTCCGGGGTCTCGGCTTTCAGAAATATATACATTTTGGGGGCTGTAGTCAATTCTAACCAGGAAAAAAAAATAAAATGGAGATTTGAACCGGTCTGCGAAGAATTAGAAATGTCCGCGGTAGACAAGTGATTCTTGGGAATATAGTGGGCGGGGCATTGGAATATTCTTGCCGCCGTCTCGCCGTTGATAAATAACCCGACTCCTGGCAGTGCGTGCGATGCGTTGTTGCTCTGTCGCGGTGCGTGCGATACGTTGTCAATCTGTCGCGATGCGTTGTCGCTCTGTCGCGGTGCGCGCGCTGCGTTGTCGCGGTGCGCGCGCTGCGTTGTCGCGGTGCGCGCGCGCTGCGTTGTCGCGGTGCGCGCGCGCTGCGTTGTCGCGGTGCGCGCGGTTCATTGTCGCGCGGTGCGCGCGCTACGTTGTCTTGTCGCGTCGCGGTGCGCGCGCTTCGTTGTCGCGGTGCGCGCGCTTCGTTGTCGCGGTGCGCGCGCTTCGTTGTCGCGGTGCGCGCGCTTCGTTGTCGCGGTGCGCGCGCTTCGTTGTCGCTCTGTCGCGGTGCGCGCGCTACGTTGTCGCTCTGTCGCGGTGCGCGCGCTCTACGTTGTCGCTCTGTCGCGGTGCGCGCGCGCGTACGTTGTCGCTCTGTCGCGGTGCGCGCGATACGTTGTCGCTCTGTCGCAGTGCGCGCGATACGTTGTCGCTCTGTCGCGGTGCGCGCGCTACGTTGTCGCTCTGTCGCGGTGCGCGCGCTACGTTGTCGCTCTGTCGCAGTGCGCGCGATACGTTGTCGCTCTGTCGCGGTGTGTGTGATACATTGTTGCTCTGCTCTGTCACAGGTACAAACGACAAGCCCGGGGGTCCTCATTACATCCTCCGCTGGACCTCGCCGCAGGTCATCAAGGAAACCCACGTCCCTCTGACGGAATGGAAGTACCCCTACATGCAGTGAGGGGGAGCATCCTTCATATGTGGGACGATAACGGCCCAGCTCCCCTACTGCGTGGAAAGAACGATTCTCCTTCCAGACTACTAATCCATCCAGACTGGAGCCACGTCCTACAGCCAAGATTTTAATTGAAATATATATTTTAGATACAACAATCAGCTTTTAAAGGATTTTGTACCATTATGGGCACCCAGATCCAGACTGTGCCAGGGAAGAGGGGGAACCTGGGGACATACCACCCTGGGGGGGGTCACCGTCATCATTATCAGCAGCAGCCAATGAAGGGGCCCAGCAGTGACATGAGGAGGAGTTGCTGTGGACGGGGAACTGCTTGTGGGTGTATTTAAGGTTTTATATAAGGCTGAACTCCGGGTAAATTTTTTTTCCCACATGTGGAGCTGTGCCAGCACGGAACGGGTTAACTGCGTGTTTTTATCTAGGGTAGTGGTCTCCAAACTATGGCCCTTTGCTTGCTTTTATCCGGCCCATTGGGGGGGGGGGGGGGCATTATTATTTTAATTTCAGAGGTTTACAGCCACTTCAAGTGCCGGGAATTGAAATTGCACCTGAAATCGCATCTAGTGAATGTCGGTGTCTCAAGCTGTGCAATTTGCTGCGGCGCGATTTCTAAAGTAGTTCTCGCGTGGCTTTTTCTGCAGTTTTATTGCGATTTCCCATACATAGAAGGGAAATCGTAAGTAGCCACCCCGGACCCATCCCCCTCTGGCAGTCCTACACTCACCTCTGACCCCGAGCAAGAGAGCCGGTCCGGAGCACAAGTTCATACTGCAAAGCTCGCCGGCGATACCTCACTGTATTGGGGGCAAGATGGGCGGGGTGGGGCGGGGCAGGGTGCCGAGGGGGGGGCTACACAGTATTTTACATCCAATGAGCATGTCAGGACTGTGCCCTTAGCACAGAGAGGAGGTGTGACAAGGCGGTATAAGATGGATTCATAGTTGTGGTCAGGGGCGGACTGACAACTCATGGGCCCCCGGGCAATAGGGGATCATGGGGCTCCTGTGTCCTTGAGCAAACTCAAAAAAGCCTATGAAAAAAAGGTACCAGGGGCATCTCATGGGGCCCCCTACTGACCCCGGGCCCTTGGGCAGTGCCCGAGTTTCTAAATGGTCAGTCCGCCCCTGGTTGTGGTCACACGACTATACACACAACACATATCTCAGACACAAAGGTCAATCATGCCATCACCAGCAGAGGGCGCACTCTGAAGACTGTTACAGAAACAACATGCTGGCTCTATTAGGAGGTCTGTTCTGGGCAGGGCTGACCATTGAGGCACTCAAGACACTGCCCGAGGGCCCGGGGTCAGTAGGGGGCCCCATGAGATGCCCCGGTACCTTTTTTTTGGGTGTGGTTTGAGTGTGGCAAGGACACGGGCCCCATGATCCCCTATTACCCGGGGGCCCCATGAGTTGTCAGTCCTCCCCGGGTTCTGGGGCAGTATACACGTCTGTTTATGTGAATACGGGTGGAAGAAATACGATGCGCGGAATGTTATTTATGGAATACGAAAATATTGCGAAATAAAAAAAATGTGCTCTGGCTGTCTGTGTCCTTTTCTGTAAAGTCGATCGGTTCAACGAAGATCTGCATTCTGAAAGAACAAAGCCAGGAATACACGGTAAGAAAACGGTACAAAAAATTTAGTGGATCAAATGATCGATCGATTGTCTCTTCGTTGACGAGCAGAATGTTATAACCGATATTGAGAACGCAAAAATCTGGTGGAAAATGTTGTTGTTTCGCATGTGAACGACCGATTTTCTATGGGGGTGGTAGGACGTTCGTCTGGAAAAAAAATCTATCAAGCGCTATCACGCGTGAGCAGGATGGAATGGGCCCGCTGAACTCATCTCGTATGTTTCTGGGCGGCAGGGCTTTTGAACCTTTGTTCTGGGCGACGGGGCGCTGAACGCTCGTTCTGGGTGGGGAAGGGCGTTGAACGCTCGTTCTGGATGGAAGGAGCGTTGAACGATCGTCTTCCTGGATGCGGCAGGGCGTTTGAACCCATATGTTCTGGGCGAAGCGGGGCGCGAGAACGCTCGTTCTGGGTGGACAGCGGCGTTGAACGCTCTTGTATCTAGGATGGAAGGGGCGTTGAACGCTCGTTCTGGGCGGCTTGGTCGTTGAACGCTGTCGTTCTGCTGGGAGGCGGGGCGTTTGAAACGCACGTTCTGGGCGGCGGGCTTTGACGCTCGGTCTGGGCGCGGGGCTTTGAACGCTCGTTCTGGGGCGGCGGGGCATTTGAACCTCGTTTCTGGGCGGCGGGCATTGAACGCCCTCGTTTCTGGGCGGCGGGGCATTCCCATTGAGAACCGCACGTGTCTGGGGGCGGCGGGGCGTTGAGGCCTTCCTAGAACCAGCAAAGACATGTTAGAACAAGTTGGTGAGACATGGTTTTGGCGATGACCAACCTCGTTGGAGATGTGGGAGAAAACCCGAGTTCTGCTGGGATGGAAGGGCCGTTGAAACGCTCGTTCCCTGGATGGACGGTGCGGTGAACGCGATCTTCTGGAGTAAGGGCGTTTGAACGCTCGTTCTGGATGGGAAGGGCTTGAAAACGCTCGCTTCTGGGCGGCCGGGGCGTATGAACCCTTCGGTTCTGGGCGGGCGGCGTGGGCGTATTGATCGCTCGTTTCTTGGCGGCGGGGCCGTTGAAACCGCTCGTTCTGGGCGGACAGGGGCGTTGAACCATCTGTAACGGGTCGCGGAGCGTTCTGAACGCTCGTTCTGGGCGTCGGGACAATTTGAAACGCTCGTCTCTGGCGCGTCGCGGGCATATGAACGCTCGTTTCTGGGCGGCGGTTGCATTGAACACCTCGTTCTGAGGCGGCGGGGCATTGAACTGCTCGTATCTGGGCGGGTCGGGGCATTGAACGGCTCGTTCTGGGCGGCGCCGGATGGGTAAAGTCGGTTGAGGGGGCTTCCCCCCCCCCCCCTAGAACCAGCAAAGACAAAGGGTTTGACCAAGTTTTGGTCGGCTGGAGAAACTCCGAGTGTCCCGTGCCCTGACCTCAACGCCTCCACCACAAACACCACCTCCAGGAGTGAAATGGGAATGCCAGTTGGTGAGTCCAAGTCTTTCCATCCAAAGTTCACCGGCCAAAGGTGTTCAGTAGGTTGAGTTCAACAGGGCTCAGTACAGGAACACGAGTTTCCTTCACACCAAACTGGTCATCCATGTCATTATGGAGCCATCTTTTGGTACACAGGGACAGTCATGCTGGAACAGAATAACTTACCTACAAGGTTGGAAGAAATTGTCTCTACAATATCTTTGTATGAAGGAGAAGAGTCCAGCAAAGACATGGTTTCCTGTGTCCTGCCCTGACCTCAACCCTACTAAACACACCTCTGGAGTGAAAAATGAATGCCAGTGGTGAGCCAAGTCTTCTCATCCAACATCAGACCTGTCCTTGGAGTTCATGATCAAGAACTAACAGCAAGGTGATCACATTCCAAACAGACAACACTACACGTATATGGCTCGTTATGTGGATACTCCTCCAAATGATGGGGTTTCAGGTGTCTCCAGTGAAGGGTCCTGCTCTTTTCCATCATACAAAGACATTGGAGACAATTGTGTTCTTCCAACCTTGTGGTAACAGGTTTGGTGAAGACAATTAATCTATTTACTGTTCCGTATACAAAGCCAGCTCCATGAAGACATGGTGTGACCGGTTCGGGGTTGAGGAAACTCAAGTTCCATGCCCGTGCTTCTGCAAATACAGGGCCCAGAAGTCCCACTAAGGGAGCATGCATGGATAGCAGGCAGGCCAGGCAGTAGCTCGGGGTTGTCACCCAAAAACAGGGAGCCCATCACACAACACTGTCAGGATCATGGACCTCTGCAATAGAAAACCAGAAATATCCACAGTATATGGACAAAAGAATTGATGTCCCCCAGGTATATATTTTTTTATTTAGGGTTTACATACCCTCAAGGCTTGGTTCACACCCATGGGTGCCACCAAGTACAGAGGTCTATCCGCATGCTGAGTCTAGGGCAGCCATTCATTTCAAAGGCTTCCCTATGCACAAGGACACGTAGAAAAGAAGTCCCTGAACTCTTCCAAAAAGGCACCACAGCAAAAAACTCGGCACGTCTGCAGATGCACGGATTGCCATTAGCAATTAATGGCCCCAACTCTTGTCTGCTCAATGGTGGCGTGTTTTTTCTGCATGTTGGGAACGCGTGTGACTTTGCGCACGTTCCCAACGCACATTAGTGTGAACCTCGCCTCAAATGTCAAGACTAAATTGGTCACAAAACCGGAGTTACCTTTGAAATGTATATTTCATATTTTATCTATGTTCCTCGGATGGTGTTGAATGTTCTCCATGTGTGGCGCCCCACCAAAAGGTCCCGGCTTGTACGAAGGCCCTCTGTGTGTGGCCACGCTGGACACCCATCCTGCGTCTCAAGTGACACAACCCAAATTCTAATAACGGTGATAACTATATCTAGTTAACATGCCATTCTTCGGATGGTGAGGCCAAATCGCTCCACCTCTTCACAGCCCGCCTGATTTGCAACAGTCCCGAAGACATTCCCCACAAAGGTCAGCGTACTCTGGTATCCTCATACATGGAGTAACCAGCGGGCCCATGAAAACGTTTGTGTTCCCGTTCTTTCCTCCGTCACGGCCTCCACCAAACAAAGGCTGTAACCGTGCCACAGACACAGCTGGACAACAACTGGCTCGGCACAGGCACCGGGGGCCCAGGCCTCCTACCGCGACGACCTCCATTGTGTGAAGGCTTCCCATTCCATTCATAGGACGAAGACATAAATCCCGTGTCTAGGGGTCGGGAAGGGGACAAGTTAAAGGGACTGTCCTGGACAAGCTCTGGAGTACGTGCACCCAAGGCACCGAATTTCCAGCCCAGGTGTCTGACACCTGCTATGGAGACCTGGGGGGGTGGGGAGGTTAACCAAAATCTATAAAATGGTGTTTATTAGGAACTCTCACATGGGCGC